TTCCAATATGGTAGATCCCAAAATATACTGCGTTTTGTCCACTTATGTGTACTTCCGTACACAAAAGTCGTGTCATGAGGGTTCTGAACAACAGTTGGAAAGTCCTGCACCCGCTCCCAAATTTGATCGCCGGTCAACCTCAATGGTGGACGTGTTCTTTCAGTCCTATTCTTCATGAACTCTTTTTTATTCCTTCTGAATGTATGATTTATCGGTAAAAATTGTCTGTGACAGTCAAAATAGCTGGGCTTCTTTCCATGTTTTAATCTAAATGACTTTAATCTCTCCAAACATATCGGACATCCTAAGATCCCAGCTGTACTCCATCCAGATAACATTCCGTAAGCTGGAAAGTCATTTATCGTCCAAAGAAGAGTAGCATTCATTACAAATGTTTGATCGGTAGAAACATCATATGTAAGGACACCTTCCTCCCATAGCCGTTTTAACTCTTCAATCAATGGTTACATATAAATATCTATTAACTTTTTCGGATTTTGCGGGCCAGGCACGATCAATGTTAAAAACATATAAGGTGTCTTCATGCACATACCAGGTGGAAGATTGTACGGCGTTAAGATAACTGGCCAATATGAATAACTTTTTCCTGATTTCCCAAATGGGGCAAATCCATCAGCACAGAGACCTAACCTGAGTTTCGAGGCTCTATCGCAAACTCAGGGTACGTTCTATCAAAATGCTTCCATGCCTTTACATCTGAAAGATGACACATTAGATCCTCTTCTGTTTCATGATTTGCGTGCCAAGTCATGTGTTCAGCCGTGGCTTGAGACGCATAAAGCCTTTGCAATCTGAGGATTAAGGGCAGATAAAACATTTGCTTGCATGGTCTACGCTTCGATTACGACCCCGCCTCTTGTTAATCTTGTACCTAGGTTGGCTACGAATTTGCAAGATTCTCGCATTTTCATCATCTCTCCAATATAACATACAACCCCTACTACATACATCAATCCTTACAATCGGAAGACCTAAGTTATCCACTAGCTTTTTCATATCGTAACAATCACTTGGCATGCTGTTATCACGAGGCATTGTTTCCCGCATTACTTCAACAAAAGAGTTAAAGCAATCTTGCGACACATTATGCTCTGCCTTGATATTTAACAGTCTTGCTGTCACTGATAACTTAGTATGGTTGTCACAACCTGGCCATAAAGGTTCATCTGCTGCTTTCAACACTTTCCAAAACTGATTAGATGAAAAAGCTCCATTACACACATTCTCATCAAAACCCGTTACTCTTATCTCTTCCATTTGTGATGCATGACTAGTACCCACTTGTTTATGTGTAGGAGTAAAACTAGTACTTGCATGGTTCGAATCTGAAACAAAAATCTGACCAGCTGCATCAATCATCATCCTCTCGTATGGGTTCAATTGGTCATAATAGCTACATTCTTCCCTAACTAAAAATTGGTCACTTTTTCGATATCCTTCATCAGATATAAATGGTTCACCATGGCAAGTCCAATTATAATAATTCGGAGTAAACTCAAATCTACAAAGATGTTTTCCAACTGTATCACGCACATGAAATTTACCATTACTGCACTTTCTACACGGACACCTTAACTTATTTCCATCCATGAACTCATATTTACTACTAGCAAAGTTTAAATATAGTTCCAACCCAGTACGAAACTCATCGGTCAATCCTTGACGTCCAGGTAAGTTCTTATTATACATCCAAGCCCTGTTTCTTTGCATTGTGTCTGTATTAAAATAAAAAAATCTCGTAAAATATTTAAAATATCATACCTACTGTTGTTAATTAAAAAAAATTATGAAAATTAAAATTTTGTTTTTCACGCAACAATTACTTTGAAATTTTAAAAAATAAAAAAATTACCATGTAAAGAAGACTTACCCAGATATTTGACTGAAATCTTAGTAGCAGAAAGTGGTCAATTTGAAGAGAATTGCAAAGTTCACTTGGATTGCGAGACCTTCAATTGGACACGTACCTAAATAAAAGCAAAATCACTTAACATTCATTTTTTAATAATTTTTTATTTTTTCCGAATTTTTAAAAACAAAAATTTCCTTACAATTTTCTCCGGTCGCCGGTCCGGCTGATCTGGGCGAGGCCGAGCGGCCTGGCCATTGCCGCCGGTCCGACCTCGCCATCGCCCGACCGGGCGATGGCGAGGTCGACCGGCGCAGCCGCCGGCCTCGCCCGGATCTAGGGGAGGCCGAGCAGCCTCGCCGGGGCCGCGGGTCGACCTCGCCGTCATCCAGCTGGGCAACGGCGAGGTCGATCCGCGGCCATGGCCACCCCGCGCGGCCTCGCCGGCCATGGGTCGAGGCCAGTCGACCTCGCCCAGATCTGGGGGAGGCCGTGCATGGCGAGGTCGACCGGCACCTCGCCCAGGTGTGCCCGTCGCAAATTTGCGACGGACGGTATTTGTCCCGTCGCAAATTGGTGGCCTGTCGCCGGAACAACAAAAACAGAAAAAAAATGTCAATAAAAAAAAAATCGCATCAAACGACGAATCAGAAGAATAGGACCATATTAGTTGTATGTTTAGTCATGAAATTAGCTACGATACTTACCGGTGGAAAAGCTTCACCGAGATTGATTTCTGGACGCACGGATTATTGAGAGAAATGATAGAAGGAGAAGGTGAGAGAAAAGCGGGCGACCTGACGAATAACTACTGAGAGAGAGAGAGAAATTGACGGGTGGGGTGGGGTGCATATCAAAAAATTAATTTTCCGTCACAAATTAGCGACGAACCCTTTTTCGTCGCAAAATCCGTCGCAAATTGCGACGGATAAAATATTCGTCGCGACGGAAAATAAATCCGCAGCAAATTTGCGACGGAAAATTAGTCGTCGCAAATTTGCGACGGAAAATAAATCCGTCGCAAATGAGCGACGAAAATAATCCGTCGCAGATTTCCGTCACAATAATCATGTTTTTTTGTAGTGTCCTATCGCACACAAAAACGGTACCCTTCTTTGTTATTTATATGTGGAATGGAATTACAGAAAAAAAGTACTCTCAAGAAGGAGATATTTAAACTATCGATATGCGAGGCAAATTGATAAAACTTGTGATATCGACAAGGGCCCGAACGTAAGGGCAAATTTTAAAACCTTCAATAATTTAGCCATTCCGACAAATTTATGACTTTGACTTCAACCCTCGCTGCCCTCACCATCAATTTCCAAATTTTTCCTTAAATGTTCATTTATGAAATCATTAACTTCACATTGAACTCAATAGGTACTCCATTTTGCATCCAATTTCTGTATTATAATATTAGATATTTAGACTTAGATGTTGCTCAGGCTGGTGTCACTAGAGTGACAGTCACGGAATATTTGTGAATTGAGGCTCCGTTTGTTTTATGGAAAATAAACTATTTAAAAAACATTTCTCTAAAAATGATCACTTATATTACTCACAAAAATGAAAGGAAAAGTATAAAAAAGTCATAAACCTATTACATTGGTACCATGATCAATTTAGTCATAAACTTTTTATATTGATATCAATTGAGTCAATTCGGCCAATTTACGCCTGAAATTGCTGACGTGGACGCCGGCCGTCCTACGTCGCACAACCAACAACCCTTACCAGAGCTCATGGAAAAAAAAAAGAGAGAAGGAAAAGAGAAGAAAGAAAAAAGAACAGAAAAAATAATTAAAATTTTTGAAAAGAAATTAAAAAAAGTTTAAAAAAATGTCAACGTTAGTGCTGACCATACCACATAGGATGGCCGGCATCCACGTCAGCAATTTCTGACCTAAATTGGTCGGATAAACTCAATTGGTATCAATGCGAAAATGTTTAGGACTAAATTGGTCCAATTAAAAGATTTGTAACTGAATTGGTACCAATGCAATAGATTTATGACTTTTTCAGTACGTTGCCCCTAAAAATAAATAAACGAAAAATATTTCCATTGTCCACGAGAAATTGTAGATATAAATTATTGTCGACAACAAGAACGTTTTTCATTGACTAATTATTTTAAGTGATACGAACAATCAATTTTAGGAAAATATTTTAGAATCATTTATTTTTTGCGAAACCTTACTATATACACATTATACATTGGAGTAACTAATCGTTGTGCTCTTAGCCTTGGGAAAAAGTGAAGGCTTCATCTGATCAAAGTGAATAAGTTGCGGGCGTGACATATTATTATAAATATCCATGCTCACTAAGATTACCCCTTGAAGGCATCGATGTCATCATTGTAGAACGGTTCAAAAGTAAAGTTAGATATATAATGGGTTTCATCATCAGTGATGAAACCCATTAAGAGATAAGATTAGTTTTCTTAACTTAATGAACTTTTACAAACCATGATTGATCGACTATCTACTGAATCAGTTCGTATGATTGGGGCTATACAAAATCCTAACCCCAACCAAGGGCTTGTCACTGCTTCTATTGCATGTTTAGGGATAGATCGTTACGAATGTTGGTCTTAAACAAGAAATTTCTAGTCAGCACTTGCTGATAGCTCGTGCTGATTATGTCCTTGCCCTTTATACCCACAGCCCGTCTATTACTCCTACCTATTGAATGGTCCGGTGAAATATTGGATCGCGCCGCCGACGTGGGCAGTTCGTCGTTGATGGCGCCGCAAGAAGTCCATTGAACCTTATCATTTAGAGGAAAGATAAGTTGTAACAAGGTCTTTGTAGGTGAACTCTAGGAAGGATCATTGTCGAATCTTGCATAGTAGAATGACTAAAGAACTACTAACGAACTCAATGGGAGATGGTGAGTTCTTTGCCCAATGCCCTTCGACGCTTGTATTACACCGGTGCCTAGCGTGCTGGGGCTTTCTTGGCAGCAAAACGAACCCGGGTGCGGAACGCGCTGAGTAACTTGAACAAGAGAGCGCGATGGACTAAGATTGTGCCCAACTGGTTGTCAATGAAAAGGAAATTACTTGGGACGCCCGCAAACTCTCAGGTCGTGTTCATCTAAATAAAGAAGAATCACAGCAGTCTTCACACATTTAATAAGTAAACGTCGACCACATAAGAAGAAGGACCTCCAAACACAGAATTTACAGGCAGAACCTACTTAGGTTTTCTCTTTAAGGCCGATCCAAGTTAACCAGCAATCAGTTGGTACCCAGCCTATGCCGGACACAACTTAAAAAAAGTCCGGAAAAGAAGAGAAATCAAGGACACCGCCACCGTCGCCGCCGCCCGTCACATCCTGAACGAGGTCCTGACCGACCTGTTGGGCAATGCCCTGGACCAAACATCGCTCGGCCGCCGCCACCAGAGGAGAAGCTCCGAACCCGGTAGCCGGTGGCCACATAATGGGTTGCGCTTGATGTTGAGAACTCCCTATATTCAAAGCGTTAGGGTTATATATAACTCCCTGCATGTTTCTTTGCCCTCAAACCGCGGGAGTTTGATATTGGTACTGAGGATTCGATCCCGAAGGAATGTAAACCGGCTGTGCGGCCGCCACGGATGATGCCTGTGGAGGTGCTGGTGTTACGGCCTGAACAGGCCTAGCCTTAGCACATTCTAAATGCACGTCGAAATTACGGTAACTGCAGCGGTACATCCAGTGATCACCCCCCGTGGCAGTGCAGATATCGCCGTTAAACCCTCTTATCTCGTACGGACAGTTAAAAGTAAGATGGAGCACGTGACAGTGAGACTGGTCGTGGATTCGCAAGGGCTTCGATGCACAGACAATGCGGAGATCGTAGGTGCACTCGGCGCAGTGATAGCTGAAGCCACGACCTCGTTGGCCGCACCCATCACAATCGAACCGGCCACGGGCATATGTGGGGGTGGCGAGGAGCTTGAGAGGGTACGTTTTGTGGCCTTGATGGGCGACGAGGGGCGGCATATGGGCGCATGGTGCATGGAGGGCAAAGTTGCAACGCTCGCATGAGTAGATGAGTCCTGAGGCTTGGCACCTGCAACCGGAGCACAGCAGGCGAAGGTCGGGGGCGGCATGCACCGGCAAGTTCGAGAGGTCGGAGAGCTCGAGGCAGTGAGTATGGCTCGGGTGGTGGAGGTGCGAGGCATAGGGAAGCGTAGTCATCTATCTCTATCTCTCGCACGGATGGAAATTTGATTCCGGTGGATCCAAGGAGGAGGAGAGTGGGACGACAAGCTGATCAAGGCAGAGAGGGCAACGTTGACCTGCTGGGCTTCGTTCAGTCAAGTCTTGATCCGCGTTAGATCGGAGACTCAAAGCACATTGTTTGCTCCTTTATTTATGAGTAATGGAAGGGGAAACCGGCCACGATGCTAAGGTATTCTTTGTTAAATGATGCGACATTTCTTTTGTCTAGTACTCAAAACCCATGATTGAGTTGACGAATACATTTAAATGACAACATTTAATAATAGGATTTAGTACTCTCATTCGTAGGACATTCATCATTTCTTCTTTTATGTTGTATGACGTACTAATATGATGTGCTAATATGACGACTGAACGGATGCGTGCGACGCTTCTTTTGGGCCGAAGTCGCCGATCTCTTATTGGCTTCTGTGCCTTCCGTCGTTTCAAGAACACCGACAGTTAACATACTGCAAATATAAGTATGCCGCAGCACCTCGAATTTCGTTTTATCTGTTGGTAAATAAGCAGGCCTTACGTTTTCCTTCAGAAGCTCTGCTGTAATCACACTAGGTGAAAGAACAGATGAAAACAAATCTGCATTTGTCCTTTTCAGAATGGAAAAGTCAAATAAAGGAAGGGCAACAAGAAGAAACGAAAAGGAGTCCATGAGGTAAGTTGGACCCAAAGATATAAGAGATGAACTTTGCTCGCTAAGACAATCCAAAATCCAAAGATTCACATTTCACACCATCAAAAGCCATTAATATGCTACAAACTCCATATAGACACGTCACGTCTCACTGAGTAAGTAAGGCAACGATATTCACGGTATCACTCCAACGTCCTTGAAGTACTCGTGCTCAAGAGCGACCTTGGCAGTTATTCTTCTTCTAGGATCCATGCAGAGCATTTTCTGGAATCCAGCAATTGCATCAGTAACAAGAATGCTGGATTGGCAATTTAATATCACTTCATACATTTCGTTACATTGGTTCAAGGCAACAAAGGAGACATGATCTCGACCCTCGTCTACGATTTTCAGTAGAGGATGGTCCATTAACAGTTTTTATAGGTTCACTAAAGGCAAAACATACAATAAGGTCAACAGTGCAAAGATCGCTCGCCTATCAAGGAATGCAATCAGACATACATGAAATCCTGTTTCTGCACTTATCCCGCCATTAACGCAGGGTGTAGTCCATCGTGAATAAGTTTAATGCATTAGCCATTTAATGGGGAAAAGTGCACAAACAGGACTCAACGTTTTGGTCATTGCTGAATTGGGGATTTAGGATTTATTTTGGTCAATTGAGAACCTGAGGTGTTTAAAAAGGCCCAATCAAGTCCTGTTTCTGCACTTATCCCGCCATTTAACCATGTTACAGTTGAAGTCCCTTCTGGCTTGCCTAACATTCTTTTCTACAAAGGCGGATTTCTAACAACTTGATTTCCTCCGAATGAAAAACTTGTAAATTTTATCATTCAAGTGTGTTATCTGCCTAATGGAGATTAAATACTAAAGAACTGCTTTCCTTCCTATTCCTGGGGGGGATCATTAAAAAGCTCCGGAACACATGCATGAATTTTGTCAACTTACAGAAAGAAGATCAACTCCGGCTGGATCAAGATTCGGCGTAACAGTTTTTAGGTCCTGCAAGATAAAGTGCACGATGTTAATTTGTCAAATAACCCTGGATAGTTCATAATCTCCCCTGAAAACAGCAGAGAAGACCAGCTACCTGTGGAGCCCACTTAGGGAAGGTTGATTTAAAATCAGGCAAAGAAGTCACCCCGGGCCATGAATCTTCATTTGGCGTGCCCATTATTCTTCAACCAAGAAAATATAAAAGGAATAAACGTAGCACCTATGAATAATTGATGGACTTAAAATTCTATGCAATGTTCTAGTCTGTAGGCAAAAGGAAAAGGAAAAAAGAGTTTCATGGCATTTTCTTAACGGATAACTTGATCTACCCACTTTCAAGTCAATAAGATAGTCTGCATTTTGGAGAATGTAGAACTAGAAGGAGGACAGCAGTGTCAACGCATCCTATGATTCCTCAAGACTAAGTATAGCAGCATTAATAAACCGAGCTTTTTACAAGAGGAGATATTTAGGGTGTTCTAGGCCATGACCGAGGTGTCAGAATCTAAAATAAATATACATCGATGCAAGCTAGCTGTAAGCTAACTAGGAAAAGACAAACTTTAGCAGCGTCTGGTTTACAATGGATTAACCTTTCGAATAGATCATTGAAAACAATTGTATTACGCGAATTCTAATTAGCTCAATCAATCTCTGCTTTATTTCATGACAAAAGCATGAGCAAAGCTATTTTAAGGTGCGTTATAAAAGCATGCTCTTCAGATGCATAAAAATCATACACCCATTTTCTACCTTTTCGATCAATTTCTGACCAAATAGCTACTTCCAAGCAGTGGCAGATAGAGCACAACTTGACATACTAGAGGATCCGATTAGAAAAAAAAAAGGCTAGAGAAAAAGATTCTTCAGACTTAGATAGGCAGTAGCACCTGAAAATCTTAAACAATTCATCAATCTCAGAGTCCCCAGGAAATAGTGGCCGCCGGTTCACCATCTCTGCAAATATACAACCCACAGACCACACATCAACAGGTGTTGAGTAATGGCGGGATCCAAGGAGTATCTCAGGAGCTCTATACCATAAAGTCACCACCTACAGAGAAACATTACAAAAGTGAAATAAACATAAACCGTGAACATGACATGGCCATCTAAAGAAGCTTACTCCATTCTTTGTGGGTTAACTATTTATCCAATTGCACAAAGAAGCATAGAAGAAAAGTAAAGAAAGTCGGCAAGAAAGAAAGACCTAAGAAAATATGTGGAGAGTTATTCATGAAAATGGTTAGGCTGCGAGTATAAAAATCCATAAGACTGAGTTTCCTGCTTTGACCAAGATATCATCATGTTCTCCCAAACCATCCGTGAGTTTTTCGGCAGGAATGAGAGTAGGTGGAGACATATCAGAAATTAGGATCCCTGAAACAACTTTCAAAGCAATTTCTAGCCCAGCATGAGTACGGAAAAAAGAATATCAGAACAATTACTACTTGCAAATTCTCTCTTAGCTGTGCAAGAAGAGAAAAAGTATGGATATCTTCAATGCTTCGTGATGTGAAAGACATTGCATCATACTGTTCATGCAGTGTCCTGAACTTGTGACTGAATCATGGCAGAAAAACAACTTCAATACCTCGTGGGTAAATGTCCTAACAGGAATACCAAAAGCCCTGGCCAGCCCAAAGTCCGCTAGCTTCAGTGAATTAGTACGGCGATCTAGCAGCAAATTCTGGGGCTTCAGATCTCGATGTAAAACTCTATGAGAATGGCAATAGGAAATGCCGCGCAGGATTTGATAAAGGAACATCTGCAGGGAGAAATTTGCTATATTATGAAATTGTTAAACAATCAAACTAAGAATTCAATCCAATCTACATAGACAAAAGGAATAATGAGTAGAGCCTAGACTAATGACAAAATAAGCAGATGCTTAAGAAGAGCTCAAAGATCCCAAAGTCATCTGCCTCATCTAAAGAGGACTGCTGACCGACTGCAAATGTTATCAGTATTGGAATGCTCCGGATACTACAGAGCCACATTAAGCTTTAGTGAGCTCTATTTGGCACTTAGACCTCATTTTTGCCAATCATGCCCACGTGAAATTAACATTATGGATGAATATAAAATAAAGAGCTAAAGTAAGAAGATCAGAAGAAGTAAGAACATGATTCTTTGTAGATATTTGTCCACTTATTCTGTGGGATATTTTCTTCTCCTACTAACCCATGATTCAATCCGAAAGGACAGTCCAATCATCCTAACAAGAATACGTTTTCTGAAAAGCCTCGATGAAATCACACTAAAGCATGGTATTATAGGCATGGACTTCTGCCATCCAGAAGATAGCACACCCAATCAAAAAGAACCAAGATAAGTTACTGCAATATTGTTCTGTAAATGAAAGCTCAAATAAGCTTATGACACCATCGTGAAAATTACACAAAGCATAAACCTCCATGAGGGTAAGAGAGCTCACTCACTTTTATTGTGTGGGTGTCCTTAGAAAATTCTGGACATGAATCCATGTGCTTTTTCAAATCCAAGTCCAAGTACTCAAAAACTAGATATAGACGCCTCTCACTGTGCACTACATCCTGCAACCTGCCACTCATAAGTGTATGAGCTATACTATGATTAAACCATAACAAAGAAAAACAGAACTTGCATATTATTTATAGTGAACTAAAAAAAAATTTTCATATATAAGCATTGATCAGTCTCCTTTTCTACAAAATCCAGAACTACAGAAAAGCGACCTAGTGAATCGATTTATTGGTATGGACAACATCATGCATTAACAGAAACTACTTGAAGCATCCAAATAGCATGATTTTTCCATGTCAGACATATCAGACAGGATAATCCCAGTTATATCACCAGAGGAAGTAGAGCTAATACATGCTCAGTCTAATGAAATCCTCTTTTTTGGCCTGATATCTAATGAGAAACCTCCTTCGAAACCAAGGAGAAGTTGTAAGAGACAGTGCTTGAAAAGGGTACATATTATAGAATGAAATAAAAATAGCTGAAAAAGGCTAGTTAAGTAAGTTCATGTCACCTCTTCAAACACTCCTACGAGAAAAGCACGTCTCCCATGGATTTGCTTTTTTTTATTTTTGAGTTTTAACATCACCTTTGCCAATTGTATGCATTGACTTATCTAAGAAAAGGGATTTTGGAAATATGCTCGCCTCCCAAGTTAACCGGAAGAAAGCTATAGCCACCATGAGCACCTTAAGACCAAGTCACATCCTGCTGAAATGAGATGTAGTAAGCACCCATATGGATGAATTCTATCCTTCTATCCTACGGCTCCCACAAGCCCTAAGTTTTACTCGCAGGACGGCCCTCCCACAAATGATCCAAAGGTAAGACCAGATATTGGAATTAGACATATGATTAATGGAGTCCTCGTAAAAGGCTACCACGCCCAGTGGTGAAACAAAGATATGGAGTCCATCTCATTTTCCTCGATACTGCTTGTATGTGGAATTGTTCTTTTCATGCAAATATCCATATGCTTATTTGGCTTTCAGCCACAGACATTTGTTTGATACACAAGATGTGAATCTTTAAAAAAAGTGGCTATGGGATTTAAGTTCCTGGCTAATAATGCATAGAGTCAAGCGCTTAAGGCAAAAGAATATGCTAAAAGAGCAATAGCTGCAGAATCCAATGAGGTTGATATGAGAACAACCTCAACTATGCAACTTCCCATAGACGCTGATTACCTCGGGATATAATGTTAAGGACCAGTCTTCAAGTATCAAATACATTTTAATTTGATTAAAGAGAAAATGTAAGCACGGCATATCTCCTCACTACTGCTGGAATAAACAATCAACAAATCCATATGGTCACTTAAAGAAGAGAACATCTCGGAGAACATCACATACTTGACAATGTTTCCATGCTGCATTTCTTTCAAGAGAGAGATTTCTCTGATTGCAGTACTCGGCACCCCTTCATCTTCCTGCTCCAAACGAATTTTCTTCAGAGCAATCGTCTTATTGGTGGAGCGATCGATAGCCTTATAGACCACGCCATAAGTTCCTTCCCCGATCTTCTCGATCTTCTCATACTGTCAAACAAAAAATCCAAGGAGATACCACATCCATTACTATAAAGCCAACGATTGAAGATGAAATGGCTATAAGAGCAGGAGGGAACGGCATCGGATAGACAAAATTAGAAGAATCAAACAAAATTGAGCATGCATACCTGATCCATTTAAGTCCAGTTCAAAGATGCCTCGCAATGCAACAGCAACCTAATAATGGCATACGGACAAACTTAGAAACAATAATCCAAAATCAGCTCTAAGCAGATTCTTATGCACCAGCATTACTCATGGAAGCTACACATGTCGCTCTCCTCTCTTTATCTACAAATGCAGTACTTCCGATTAACCTCTTTCCTCTCATCGCACGGCAGCATCAAAGCGACAATCAACGACCACGACGCCTCGAGAAAGTCAGTCAAATGCTAGCCTAACGGCTCCACACAGAAGTTCCGTAAGAAAATCGGTCAAACGGAAGCAACGAAAACAACGCGACACTTCCGCTGCCTGCATACAGTAAAGGAGGAAGACAGATCGGATCTCGAGCAAAGAGACAATCCGGCCGAGAGATCGATCGGAGCGCTTCCGCATCGGGAACGCCTCGGCCACGGACCGGAGGTCCGAGCGCATCGCTCGGCGTGCCGCGATGCGGCATTTCGTCGTCGGCGGGAAGAGAGAGAGAGAGAGGTGAGGGGGTGAAAAGGCGACGGCGGCGAGAGCGCGATCGTCGGAGCGGGGAAGATGAGAAACGCGTCGCCGCGAGGGGCGAAGCGGCGAGGTTTTTTCCGGGGGGAGGAGGGAGGAGGAGTACCTGAGGGGTGGCGCAGTAATGGCGGTTGGTTGCTGCTGGTGGTGGCGAGCAGTGAATTGGACTCGCTTCTACTTCTGCTTCTGTGTGTGTGCGCTTTTTGTGTGTTCTTCTTCGCCTTGTTTTTATTCGAGTCGAGAGCCCTGCAAGTCAGAGAGAGAGAGAGAGAGAGAGTGGTGATGCGGTAATTATTGGGTGGACTATGGTCAACGATGGTTCTACCGCTGCTTTTCTTTTCTTTTCTTTTCTTTTTTACTGACGCCCAACACCCGATGACCAATGGGGTGATGACACGTGAGGGCCACGCGGAATTTAATGCCGTTTCGCATAATTCATTATTAGGGCGACAGTGAATTCGAATTTCTCACGCCAATAAAAATCAATTTCGGCAAAATGGAGTGAGAGATATTATTTTCTCGCATTCCAGCCCACTTTATTAGTTTGACTTTTTTGTGCCGTTGTGCCTTATAAGCACTTCTTTTTTTTTTGGGTTAGATAGTAAGGCTAAAAGAATAATTTAGAAAATATTTTTTTTGAAAAAGGATCGCTTGAAATAGTTAGTCAATAAAAAATATTTTTCATTATCAACAGTAATTTACGTCCAAATATTTTTGTGAGCGCTAAAAATATTTTTCGTTCATTCATTTTTATAAGTAATGGAGGCGATCATTTTTAGGAAAATATTTTCCAAATCAATTATTTTTTGTGAAACAAATGGAGTCTGGAAATTAGCTCTCGAGGGTGCTCTAACTTTAAATATGGAAGAAATCGCTGATAGAATAACCTTCTAAAAATTATATCTTGTCTCATCTTGCATTTTGCATGGATAAATGGAGCAATAATCTCACCGTCGAATGACCCAAAAAAATGGAAATTAAGTCCATTAATTAATGCCTCTCGAAACGTGATTCTTTTTTCTTGTTTTTATTTTTATTTTTGTCCCGTTATATTTTGATGGTCCTAAACGAATATAAAAGAAATATATAAAATACGCCGAATGAGAACGGGGAGTTATGACGTCGCGATTTTCCAATCTCGGTTCTTCAATGGGTACGTGCTTTTTCCGTGTGTACGGTGGATCGTAGCTCCTTGATGGCATTCATGCCTTCGGTCCTCCCCATGTGTTCCACTCGTTCGTACTGTGTATCGCGTCCCATGATGCTGTAGCTGTCGAGATTCAATGCGAGCGTATCCACCTTGATTAGCTCGAATAGGACATTTCTTTGGTTTCTTGTTTTTGGTCAGAGTATATTTCTTTGATGAGAGATAGAACGTATGAAAGAAATTGGTGCTTATTCGCGATAAAGAAAAGAGCTTCTTCTTAATGCTAGAATTTCTTGGTTTCGTGCTAGGAAATACGGTGTTTCTTTCCGCCTCGGTAAGTATGAGATTGGGAGGAAATCCGGGCCTAAACGTTAAGAACTGAATAACCTAAAATCGAGTTACGACGATATGCTTATCTCATAAGGCCCCAATCGATGGAATATACGATGGGATCATCGATTACAAAGGTCATGACAATACAATTGACTTATAAAGACGTGACTCGTGACCAATTGACTTGAAGCACGCACAAAAATTAACAACCGAGTCAATGAGAGTCCACCGATCCAAGAATAATATATTGTGGCGAATGAGTCACTTAACTATAACAAATTATCTCTGGAGTAACATTCAAGTCAAGATAGTTAGGGATATTTGCGGGAGAAGATCATAAAGTATGATGGAATAACCCATTAAAGATGCACGAGGCATAAAAGAGAACCGAGACTATAACTAAGGAGCAAACAACATCAAGCACGACATTCACAAACCAAGCAAGAGATCAAGTTCTAAGGTTTGGTGTACTCGAGATCACCGATATATCATTATTTTTCACAATGTTTGTATTATCATACGTGTATAATCGTCATCCACTTTTTTCTTTAAATGTGGGGTGATTTCCCTAAATCTAAGCAAATTCCTGCAACGATTAGTTCCTTCGATGGCGTGGGAAACCAAAATTCATCACCAAGTACAAAAAAAAGAAAAAAAACCGTTTATTCTCCTGTCAAGGGCGAACCTAAACCCGTGCTCAAGGAATAGCTATCCATACACCAATAAGGGAACGCGTAAATTATCAAGGAGAAAGGAGCCGCGTCGATCTCCCCGGATAAATCGCCCGAATCCCACGAGTGAACGGAGAGCTAGATCTTACATTGGATCTCATCCGAATCGCCTCATCTGTCCTCCTCAGGAGAGGAGAGGTTCGGGTTTTGGGACCGCCATGTTTTTTTCTTCTTTTTTTTTTGGGGGGGGGGCTCGAAAGGAACCGCCTTGTTAAATAAGGCGAAATAGCGATGACCCACCCCCGCCCGCTCACGCGATCGTGCATTTACGAAAGGAAGAAAAAAAAAGGGGGGGAAAGTGTTTCGTTTTGTCCGGGGGGGGGGGGGGGGCCCGGCGGCGAGCGATCAAATTTTTCGAGCTTGGTCAAAATCTCACGTGAGGGCTAGCTAGCTAGCTGACAAAATAATTTGCCTCCGTCCTGCTTTGCTTTTGGTTTCGAGCCAAATTATTTACGGCCGTTTTAGCCACGCGATGCTAATAGTAAATAGTAATAATAATAATTCCGAAAAGTGCAAATGATCGGAAGCCGGAAGTTCGAAATTCGAAGCGCCTTCCCCCCGTCCCTCGAGATTTCAAATTCGGCGGGGGGACGCTGAATATTTCGCACGACCACGGGCACGGCATGAAAGTTCGATTCTCTGCCCGCGGGGAAAAATCGTGGTGACTTTTAGCCAGTCACGGGAAAGAAGAGACTTTCATGGGTGGGTCACGTAACCTACAGCGCTCGTATCTGGATTATTGATGGGCGAAAGAATTCGATTACGCGGTTAAGTTTGAAACGCACATGTCGCTCGTCGAATGGCGAATGTATGGGAGGTTTTTTTTTTAGTTGCACTAGTGATGGACCTAGCGAAGATAGGAATAAAGAGAGGAATGACGCATTTGGCAATCATTTTATTCCCGTAAACAATTTATGTTTAGAAATGATTCTTTTTGATTCCGTGTTCGAGAACAATTTATAAACATTTAAAGGTATTTGGTAACTGCCCAAAATTTTTATTTTCGAAATAGAAAAAGAACAGCGTTTGATAATTACACAAATTTCTTTTTATTAAAAATATATTTAATATTTTTAATATTTCTTTCTTTTTATTTTTCTTCTTCTTCCCCTTCCTTAGCCATGGCTAGGGTCGGCGAGGGCGGCTAGTGGCCTGGGCGAGGGTCCAGGCCCTCGCCCTCGCTAGCCCTGGCCTATGGCCGGCTGCCGGTGGCCGGCGACTGGCCACAGGCCAGGAAGAAGAAGAAAAAAAAATTCTTTTTCATTTATGATTCTGTTCCAAAATCGATTTTGGGAACAAATTTTTGCAAATTTGTACCTAGGAACAAAAAATTTATCAAACGAATTTCTGTTTCAAAACTTATTCTGGGAACAAAATAATAGAAATAGTTACTATTTGGCCGGTTGTTAAATGCGCCTGAAGTGGTCTCAGCAAATGATTGTGTAGTAAAATGATTTTAATGCCATTCTCGGCGCGAGGAAAGAAAAGAGCGGAAAATTCCTCATATATACAATGTAGGCATGAAGTTCGATGGTGGTAACATGCTAATAGGGGTTTAAAAAGAAGACCTCCTTTTTGAAACCCGAAATTGAATCTAGTTGGCTCAAAAAAGGTTTCGAGTCTTTTCCAATTGAGATTGTTTCAATTTGGGTGGTAAGTAAAATAACGGGTATTCGATGGTTCGGTTAAATTGTGGGCCACAAACCCAAATCGGCCCGACCTGAAAAGGCATGAAATTTTCGGTTGGGGTTAGGTCGGGCCAATTTGATTTGGATCGGGCTTTTTTGACAGTCCTAACAGCCAGTAATATAAGTAAAGTTGCCCGTCATCTCGTGAGTGCAATCCTGTCTGCCCGAAGTGGATGGAACAATTGACATGCATTCACGAGAATATGTCCATGGTTAGACTTGATAGACTCTAGCCCATTCTATTAACCAAAAAAAAATGAAAAAGAAAAAAGGAAATTGAAAAGGGGGGATACGTAGACCGGGCCTCGTACGAGCCCACGTGTCGCTCGAGCATTGGTCGTGGGCCCAAAACCATTACGAAAAATGCTGCCCAAGCCCAACGGGCTAATCCACTGGGGCTGCCCCGCTACTATAAAGGCCTCATTTTTTCCGTTTTCAGGATTTGGCGATCGGGTTCGGGCTGAGCTCGTCGGGCTCTCTCCGGAAACTGCTCGGCGACGGCGGAGCAACTGGCGGCGGTACGGTGGCGCGGCTCTCGCTCAACCAGGTATTCTTCCTCCTCCTCCTCCTCGATATGCAAGCCAACCTTCTCTTCCTCTGGTAGTCGATGGTTCGTGTAGTCCTCGTCGAGTTCACGTAGCTCTCCTTCGTCGCCGATGGAAGAACGATGGGAATGCCACTGTAGAGTTCCGCTGGTTTGAGATGAGGAGGCTCTGTAGATACGGCCGCTGCTGTCGCGATCTCGCTCGGGGGTGCAGTCTATCTCCGCCTACCGCGTCGCTCGGCGTTGTGCCTGCGATTGCGAATCCCGCGTCTTCGCATCGGATACTGCGGGGGCTGCCCGCGCCTTGCTGGAGTCTCGACGAATTCCCGCTTCCCCCGCGG